GTGATCACACCATTGTGATTATCTGGGTCATGAAGATCTTTTTTGTATAGTTCTTCTGTGTATTCTTGCCACCTCTTCTTAATATCTTCTGCTTCTATTAGGTCCATACCATTTCTGTCCTTTATTGTGCCCATCTTTGCATGAAATGTTCCCAGGGTATCTTTAATTTTCCTGAAGAGATATCTAGTATTTCCCATTCTATTGTTTTCCTCTATTTCTTTGCACTGATCACTGAGGAAGGCTTTCTTATCTCTCCTCGATATTCTTTGGAACTCTGCATTCAAATGGGCGTATCTCTCCTTTTCACCTCTGCCTTTGGCTTCTCAGCTATTTGTAAGGCCTCCTCAGACAACCATTTTGCCTTTCTGCATTTCTTTTTCTTGGGGGTGGTTTCGATCACTGTCTCCTGTGCAGTGTCACAAACCTCTGTCCATAGTTCTTCAGGCACTCGGTCTATCAGATCTAATCCCTTGAATCTATTTCTCACTTCCACTGTATAATTGTAAGGGATATGATTTAGGTCATACCTGAATGGTCTAGTGGTCTTCCCTACTTTCTTCAATTTAAGTCTGAATTTGGCAATAAGTGTTCATGATCTGAGTCACAGTCAGCTCCCGGTCTTGTTTTTGCTGACTGTATAGAGTTTCTCCATCTTTGGCTGCAAAGAATATTATCAATCTGATTACAAAATGGCTTAAACCATATTTTCTCCAGCCCAGCTAACACTGCCACCAGCATCCTGAGCAAAGAGCTCTGACACTGTCCCTCTTTTGCTCAATAGAGCTTCAGAGACCCCTCACCCCCGACCTTCCTAATCCACCCCTCCTCAGTGCATTAGAATTTCATTCAAGGGACTTCCCTGGTAGTCCAGTAGCTAGGAATCTGTGTTCCCCAATGCAAGGATTCCATATTCAATCCCTGAGCAGGGAACTAAGATCCCACACACCACAACTAAGACCCAGCACAGCCAAATAAATGAATAAGTATTTTTTAAAAATCTTATTCAAGACAACATGGCAGAGACAAGATTAAGATGGCAGAGTAGAAGCACGAGGACTCATCTTCTGCCAAAACACCAAAATCGCATCCAAGTGTTGAATCCAACCAGGAAGACAGTGGAACCCACCAAAAAAAGAAATCCCACATCCAATGACAAAGGAGAAGCCACAACAAAATGGTAGAAGGGGAACAATTATGATAAAATCAATCCTATGGCCACCAGGTGGGCAACTCACAGACTGGAGAACAATAATACCAAAGAAGTTCTCACACTGTTGTGAAGGTTCTAGGCCCCACATCAGGCTCCCCAGCCTGGAGATCTGGCCAAGAGACTGGGAATCCCCAGGGAATCTGACTTTGAAGGCCAGCAGGATTTGACTACAGAACTTCCATGGGACTGGGGGAAACAGAGACTCTTGGAGGGCA